TCTGAGGCCAACTTGGATATACAAATTAACAGTTTGTCGTCCCCATTTGAATATTGTAGAAATACCCCAAACTCTTCCTGTCTCATACTGAATAAGTCATCTCCTCTGCCCTTCTTCCTCCCATCAAATTTCACTCTCTTATTCCCTACCTTCATTGAGATTGCCCTTTGCCCACTGCAAAGACCAGAAACTTGGATTCTTTCTATCCTCTTCTTCTCCTCCATCCTGTGCATTTTTATTCCCATCATCCTAGACTTTGCCAGTGAGTAGAGTCTGTTGATTTTATGACTTAATATCTATAGATTCGTCCCTCTATTTTCCCTTCTATCTGTCAATGTCTAACTTTGGGTTATCAGATTTATTGTTTAAAGTGTTCAAAAGTTTCCTAATTAATTCTCTCCTAGCCTGGCCTGCTAAGTCCAGTTTCTTATTACCAACAGTGAGCTCTTTAAAACCAAACTTGATCACACCGATCCCTTGCTCATAATTGTTGAATAGTTTCCTGTTGCTTTGAACTAGGTTCCAGAACTCTGCCTTGATGTGCAAAGCCTATTATATGATTTCTTTTTAGCTGTTTCTCTTTTCTTTTCTCTCTTCTCTCCTCGCCTCTGCTCTTTTTCTTTTCTATCTTTTCTTTCATAGAGACAGAGGTTTCACCACGTTGCCCAGGCTGGTCTTGAACTCCTGGCCTCAAGCGACCCTCCCACCTTGGTCTCCCAAAGCACTGGGATTGCAGACATGAGCTGCTGCACCCAGACTCTTTTAGTTATTTCTTCAGGCTCATACTTCCCAATCTCTAACATGCACCTTGTACCCAGGCCATGCTAACTTACCTGTAGGTCCCACAAGTGTGCTATATACTCTTGTAGCTGTGCCTCTGGGTGAAATCATCTCCTTTCTTTTCTTTCTGACTCATTCCTCAAGGCTTATCTCAAGTTTCACATCTCTGGATGCCTTCTCTGACTCGCTAAGGCAGTCATAGATGCCCTTTGTTTGAGTCCTTATAGCAACTTATGCATCCCTGTTTCCTGTCTGAAATGGACTTTCAGAATTTAAAATAAAATTTGCTCTACTTAAATATGTATTACCTAAGCAGTTGAGACTCATTAGCATCTACCATTGATAATTATAGGCAAAGTAAAGGTCAATACTTATTAAAATACTTTCTTTTCTGAAGTTTTACAGCACCGACAATTAGGAATAATCTATAATCTGCTGTAAATTTCACTTTACTTCAATATAGGCTTAGAAAGTAATGAGTTTCCAAATTATTCCTGTGTTATTCTTACGTTGCTGATTTATTTCCCCCTCTTTTAGACCCCATTTTCATTTAAAGGACTTATAGCATGTTGTATACCATGCATTAAACTCAAGCAATATTTCAGATTATAAAACTATTATTTAACATTTCAGATTATAATTTTTTGTTTCATGGTGGATATAAGCAAATAATAGATCTTTTAGTTTCATCATTCACTAAGTCATTTCACTAAAAAATATATTAATTGAAGTAGTTACAATTTAGACAGAGATATAAATAAGCCCCATGCCGGGCTTATAGTCTCTTTAAGGTCGAGTAGTATGCATATTGGTTACAATTGAAAAAATAAATTTTTTAAAGTCTCTGTATGGAATGCATGATTCTTAAGCTTCAGCCCATTCTGCTCAGTTAAGTCTTTCTTGTCAACACGTAATTCATTTTTTTCATTTGTTCAACACATATTTATTGAGTACTGTAATATACTCAGCACTCCGCCAGGCATAAGGGAAACAACCGTGAGCAAAATCAGACCCACAGACCTTACAGAATAGTGGGAAAAACAGATAATATTCAAAGTATCAGATAAATAGATTTATAATTCTCATCATTTTACCAAGAGTAGAAATATAGTGCTATTTAGGTTTATGAAAGTGGCATTTAATTTTCTTGGAAAGATCATTGAGAGCAGGGATTTGAAAGAAGAGTTTTGGCGAACTAGGATAAGATTATTTTGAGCCCAGGCCCTGTGGCAGGTACAGGCCGTGTGGCAGGAGGAAGCACAAGATGTTTATGGAACTAACAGAAGACTGGGCTGCAGAGAGCAGAGAGAGGAGTAAAATAGGAAGAGTCTGGAGAACTAGATCAGGGAATGAACATGCTGACTCTTGTAGGTCTTAAAGGAGTTTATCTTAAGAACAATGAGTTTATTTTAAGAGCCTCTGAAGTAGAGGAGGACCCAGATTATTTGACAGCCTTCAACTTGCTACATTGAAGTGTAACCATTAATATTTAAGAGGCTTTGCTAAATCTTAGTGGGGGTGGTAGTTGGACTTCAGGTGGTAGCTGGCTGTACAGATGAGGAAGAGTAGATTAATGTGAGAAATTCTACAGAGGAATTTTAAGAAGGACTAGGGGCCAGAAAGGGAGACTGTAAGGAGGATTGGTTTCTACTCTGCCTTAATCATTGAGACTGGAACACTAGATGAAAGCAAGGTTTGGGGCTCAATTGAGTGAAAACTTTGGTTATCGAATTTGAGAAATCTTTGAGAAATTTACATATTTTCTATCTATACAGCAGTAATAAGATAGGAATATTAAAAACTATAAAACATCATCCCTGTTTTTGAGACTCTATTTTCACCGGAAAAAGTTAGGGTATAGACACGGAAAGTATTTAAGTGACATACACTCAGGGCTTCATTTGTTAAGTAATGCATAAGGTCTAGAATGCAGCACTTCACCCAATAGCCTTTTCCATTTAATATTATATTTAACTATTTAAACTCAATTATTTAGCATTTTATCTTTGAAGTCTATTAAAATATTAACATAATTATCACTACTAATAAAGTTAATTTATTAGAAAAATCCCTGGGGAAAGTGTGTGTGTGTGTGTGTGTGTGTGTGTGTGTGTGTGTGTGTGTGTGTGTGTGTGTGTGTGTATATACATATATATATATACATACATATCATTTTATTATTTAGGAAGATAGAAAAGTCTATATAAAGAACAGTTTCAGAAAACATTTGTTTTGGAATCCAAGCAAGAGTGAGTTCCGAGGAATTTCTGGCATGGTGGCATCATCCATAGGGCCCTGAAAAGCCAAAGTGTGTGGGCTGCAAGGGTTATCAGTCTGCTCTGAGGCCCACAGGGCCTGGGCAGTGCAGATGGTACAGTCCTCCCAGAGAGAGGAAGGCGCTGACCCAGGGGCTCAGGTTTCTGGGAGCTGGAGTCAGGGCACTTCCCACTGTTCTGCCAAGCTCCCAGGGCGGCTGCTGCTGTACTGCAGGTGGCTCAGGAGTTTGCATTCGATTCCTGCGGTGTGCATTTCTTATGTGTTAGGCATAATAATAAAGGATGGGGCAAACATCCTGAACTGAAGGAGGGAAGGTCTCTGATAGAGAACCTGGGATCTCACGTGCTCTTGCGGCTATATGCCCTTCATCCCGTTGTTCAACCTCATCGTTAGCTTCTGTACAGCTAGTGGCTTGAACTAAATAAACGGTTTGCATCCCTGACATCACAAATCCCCTGAGGAGAGAAGGGGCAGGAGGGTTTTAGAAACAACACGGCATGCCTGATGCCCTAGAAGATTCTAGGTGGGGCCTGGGCAGTGGCATTTGTGTTTAAGTTCTGCAGGTGATTCTGAAATGGGGTTGACTTGAGAACCACTGCAGTCAGTGATTTGGATGATAGCTACTATTTAGCATCTAAAATTGTTACATTGATGCATATTTTACCCACAGGATCCCTAATCCTAACAGGAGTCCTGGGAGCTACCATAATTATGTCCTTTTTACATATGCAACATCTGAGTCTCAGACGTGGCTTCCGGAAATTCACACAGCCTGTTCAGCGCTACTGCTGACCAACTGCAGGGCCAGGTGTTTTCGCGATCTTTCCCAGGACAGGAAGGCGGTAACAAGCCCAGTGAAAGTAACAAGCTCTGTAAGGGGCAAAGCTCCACGCAACTCTCAGGGCTTGCTCTTGTTTCTGTCAGTAGCCCTCACACTACCCAGCAAGGAACTGCTTTTTTACACACTTGACTCTGAATTCCCATCGCCTCTTACACTTCACTTTGAGCTGCAGTTAAGTATCGCAGGCAGAGGCTGTCCTGTTTTTATGGTCTTGGTGTGGACGTCTTTCCTTCTTCCATGTCTTTGCCCAGTGATCTGCGCTGTGTCCCTGAAGGTGCCGCCCAGTGTGACGCTGGAGCTTTGAAAAGCCTGAATTCTTTCCTACAGGGCAAACTCCAGGCCACCCTTTGTGACCTGCATCACAGCACCGTAGAAGCCCTCCCCGTTTTCACCACCACTCACTTCATCTGTAGCCTGGTGTAAAGCCTGAGGAAAAACGTGAATGCAGACATTGGGGAGGAGGAAGTCTTCAGAGGGGGAATTGTTTATCTGAAGGGGAGAGCCTCATGACACATTTTGTGAAGTGCTTTTGTCTTTCTCATTCCATCTAGAGTCTCCCTGGTCCTCTGAGTATCCCCAAGATGTCAGAGAAACAATAGAAAAAAAAAACCCACAAAAGATCAGTTTCATTACATATTCTAATGTAAATGTTCATCCATATATAGCATATGTTTTGTTAAAGTGTTGATTGATGTTAGTTAAAAGGGAGATTCCAGAAAGCCATGCCGTTATTTGTAATACTCAGGAAGCTATGCAATAGTTCTCTAACACATTCCTTTGCAAAAACAGGCACATGCATGGCATAAACAGACGGTGTAATAGGTTCTGCAAGCATTCATGGATAAGGGATTCGAGAAGCAGACAGGATTTGTACAGGCCATGTTGAAGCAAGAGAACTTTCTAAGTGGAGGGTCAAAAGGATGCTGGTCCTGGAAGGTGTAATCAAGGTGGCCACCAGAGGGATTAGCTAGTAAATAGGCTAGGAAGGGTAGGTCCATATTATGCAGTGTTTAAATAGTCGTGGTAAAGCCTGTGCTTTTGAAATAAGACTTTTAATTGTTTTCAAGTGATGCATGAAGACATTTTGTCAATTCTTCTGCAGGCTCCCGTCTTCGTCAGGAAGATTTTCCACCCCGTATTGTTGAACACCCTTCAGACCTAATTGTCTCAAAAGGAGAACCTGCCACTTTGAACTGTAAAGCCGAAGGCCGCCCCACACCCACTATTGAATGGTACAAAGGAGGGGAGAGAGTGGAGACAGACAAAGATGACCCTCGCTCACACCGAATGTTGCTGCCAAGTGGATCTTTATTTTTCTTACGTATAGTGCATGGACGGAAAAGTAGACCCGACGAAGGGGTCTACGTCTGTGTAGCCAGGAATTACCTTGGGGAGGCTGTGAGCCACAACGCATCGCTGGAGGTAGCTAGTAAGTAAAACGGGCTGTCTGTGTTTGGCAGGGGGAGTGACAGAATGGGGTCATTTGTCTTGATAATGGCGATAAAAAGTCGAATTTGTATCAGGGGCTTTGCTTGACAACAATCTCTAGCTTCATACGTGAATAGAATCCACTACTTGAATTTTCTGTATTTCTCATCCTAGCTGGTTATTCAAGTTAAACTGGGATTTATACATAGTTGTTGAACTATTTGTCTTTTGATTTGGAGTCGGTTTTTGTTGAACATTTTCATTCACTGTGTTTTATTCCCTTCCTTAGTTGCTTTTAAATATATCGAATAGCCAGGTGAAATGATGCCCACCCGTAGGCCCAGCTGCTGGGAAGGCCGAGGCAGGATTGCCTGAGCCCGGGAGTTCTGGGTGGTAGTGCACTATGTGAATCCGGTGTCTGCTCTAAGTTGTCATTAGTATGGTGACCTCATGAAAGCCAAGGACCACCAAGTTGCCTAAGGTTGGGTAAACCTGCCCAAGTCGGACACGGAGCAGGTCAAAACCCCTCTGCTGACCAGTAGTGGGATGGTACCTGTGAAGAGCAACTAGACTCCAGCCTGGGCAACATAGCAACACCTTGTTTCATAAAAATATTTAAAAATATGCAGTACAGTATGCTATCTGTAAATAAAATAGTGTGAATATTTTTAATTTGTCCTTAAGAGAAATACTTTCAACTGCTATTATAAGGTATGATTTAAAACTGTTTCTAATTCTTAGAAATAGTTTATACTTCTGTTAGAACCATATCCAGAGAATGATTCATACTTTGCTTTCTTGGCTACTGTGGTGCACCTCAGGAGGAAAACAGGCATATGTAATTGTCAAGTAGTTGATCGTTCCGTTTATTTACACAAATACCAAATGCAGTTCATTTGAAATTACCTAAGGAAAAAGTTATTGACTAATGATTAAATTGTTATATCTATTATAGAGTCTGGATTTATTTGTATTTGAATAAGAATTGGACTTCTCTTATTTTCTATCCACATTCAAGAGATAGCAAAGAAATTTCATTCCTTGAAAGAATCTTGCTGTATATGACAGAAATTAAAAATTACATAGTGATTAAAGAAACAAATGAAATTTAGATGTAATTCACTTTAACTATATAATTATATATGAAACTATATGTATAACTCTGCATATATCTGTATTTGAGGTTTTTCCAAGATGATTGATATTTTAATACAATTTATGTCCAAAATTTTAATTAAATAATCAGTTTTCATAGTCTCCAAAATTGACTAGAACTTGAATATTTAGAACCATAAATAAGTATAAAATTATAGATATGGAAAGGAACTTTGAGACAGATTATTCCTGTCTCTAAATATGTATGTAATCCTCAAGCAATTGATGGTTCAGTTTATTTACACATATTAGTAATGCGGAACCCGCCCCAGAGAATTTAAATGATTTGATCACCCTCACAGAGCCATGCAGTACTTCAGTTGAGATAGAATGCCAAAAATGTCTGATACGAGTATAAGATATAAGATAGAATAAAAATTAAAGTAACCACTTTAAACCATGTCAAAACTAGCTATTCACATATTTTAAGCATTTGCCTGAAATCTGAATTTATATTTCTGTATTCATTGTTCATTATTATAATGATGTCTCTTATTGGCTTGATTCTCAGTGAAGGTCTTAGAACTATATCAGTGACGTGTATGAAAACTATTTTGCTTTTGTTTTGTTTTGTTTTAACCCGGACTTTAAATATAGCTGAAGCAAAAAATGTAAATGTTCAACCTGTTTATAAAAGAATGTACAGTCAGTCATCCCTCAGGATTTGTGGGGGATTGGTTCTATGACCCCTGTGGATACCAAAATTCACAGATGCTCAAGTACCTTATATAACATGGCATTGTATAAACATACAAGCTACACATATTTTCCTGAACACTTTAAATCATCTCTAGATTACTTATAATAGCTAATACAATGTAAATCTGTGTAAATAGTTGTTATATTGTATTGTTTAGGGAATAATAGCCAGGAAAAATTGTCTGTACATATTTAGTATAGACAGTACCATCTATTTCTGTCCTAATATTTTCAGTCCACAATTGGTTGAATCCACAGATGTAAAACCCAGTGCTTTACATGTTTAATTTACAGCAAATATGGCCCAAACTTCCTCCTCACCTCTACCATGTTTGTTTATGTAACATCCAGTGCAGTTGTTGGTAATGCTTTATATGGAGGACAAACTCTATGTTTTTATAAAGTTTTGATAAAGTCATCTTTCAAAATTAGGATATTAGTATCTTTGTAAATTTGACACATTTATGTTTAAGAATACTCATTCCCTGTGGAGACAAAATTAAGTTAGCATTTGAAAACAAATCTAGAGAATCAAAAAATTATATAGATAACTTAGGCCAGCTCCTATTTTTGGTAGGTAAGAATCTGAAGACCAGAGGGAAAAAAACAGACTGATTATTTATGCTCTGAAATTATAATTTCTTATAAATGAAGTGTGTCCCAACTTTGATATTTAGAAATAGTAAAGATAATCTCTTGTGTTTTTTGTGTTATTTCCTACTCTACGTGCATTCTTATCATTGCCAGAATTTTTTTTTGAAAGCAGTTATAGACTTGAGTATGTCTAAAAGTTTACCTTCTAGATCTTCTTTTTGAAAACACCTTTAGTTTTGCCCAAGATGATCAAGATATCTTAATGCACTGGGATTTAGAGAGCTGTCTTTGCTAATCTGGCTTTTGTGTAGATACTGTAAATATATTATTAGTTTCCAGCTAAGTTCTCTTTCTTAACTAGACATCCCATTACCTTGAGAGCCGTTATGGGAAAAGCTTTCCAGTCTTAGTCATCAAATACACAATCATGGAATTGAAACCAGACATAAGATCATTGTATTAATTTTACCAGCAAAATATTCAAATATAGATCCCCTTAATGCATGATTCATACATTTGAGCATGATGTACATCATTATGTTTCCAAAATGTTTTCAAGCTCCAAAGAAAAAAAAGAATATTATGATTTACTGAATAAAATTTAATAAAAGTACTTCTAAATATACTACAAATTAATCTTTGGTGACAATTTATATATGAAATGTATAGATATTAAACACATGCCAAATATAGTTTGATATTAATAAGGATAATTTGATAATAAAGATGCTTATTAGTGATAATAATAATTATTTGAAATCCTGGAAAAAGTTTGGGTGGCATTTGCTTTAAATAATTTTTATACCAGTTTAATTGCAATGATTAAAACATGTTTTTATTTGAATAAATTGTATGATTTGGACACAAAAGTTTATGGGAAAAATTAAGTACTCTGCACTTAACAAGGCTTTTGTGTGTTTAAAAAGTTTGGAAACTATTATTTAGTAAACTTATGCTTCACTGCACTAATAATGAATATGTATTAATTCAATTTACTGCATTTCAGGTATTTATTCTTGGCAATAGGTGCTGGTCATTTACCATTTTTAAGAGGTTTGTGTCCTAAAGCCAAAACTAGCCTTTTGGATGTTACATAAATAAACAGGGTAGAGGTTAGGAGGAAGTTTGGGCCATATTTGCTGTAAATTAAACATGTAAAGTACTGTTATAGTTTGAGTTTTTATTCCTGGAGAGTATTACTACTTTTTTTGTTTTAACGTTTCCTTAGTTTAGACACCAGAAGTTCAATAAGAACTATTCTTATTGACCCCAAGGTTCAGACACAGGAAGACAAAGATTGCATCTAGTTT